TCATTCCTAGGATCAGGAGGGCCAGAGGCGTATCTAAGGGGATCACCAGGTTCACGTGAACCCATGGTCCCCTCCCAAGATCATATATAGTAGTGTTATAATTTTAAAAAATATTGAAATATAGATGCGTGAACCCACACTTCAAGTATCAGATAATGCGATTATGACTGGGTGCACCTCTCTCCGCGAGGTTAGAAAGTTGAATTTTATATTTATCTTGTTTTATTTTTTTTTCTAAAATTAAATAACACTTCTCTAAGTGGTAATTGGTATATAAGAATTAATTTTAGACCTATAATTTTAAAATTTTAACGGTTTTTAGTAGTAAAAACCTAAATGTCGAACCGATCAAATTTATATCATAGATCAACCTTTATATAACAGTGCACTCATTGTCTCAAAATCCTAAATACGCCTATGGAGGGCAACTGACAGTAAACATCTTTTTCCAAGATGCGTTAACCCCACACATCATAATGATGTCTCTCATAGTTACAAAGCTCTACAAGATCATTTCCCAAAATTCCCAACTTAAATCGAATTTGCCTTCTCCATAATCGGGGTTCTCCACCTCACCCCATGTTTCCCTTGCTAAATCAAAAGAAACAATGTTGTGGCTCACGTCATAGCCATCAACAATTAAAGTAGTCCAATTAAGCTTCCCTCTTACACACTTAGCTGAACTATTTATCCGAGTACCTCTTGGAAAATCCCCAACTGTTCTCCAAAAATAATCCACCTTCAAACTGTAAATGTCAACCTTGGTATCCTTATCAAAATTGACAATTACAACAATTTTGTATATCTCGTCATATTGAAAGCCATATCTAAATAAGGTATGACAACCCCATATCAGTTTAACTCCCGACAATATTTTACCCTTCCTAATTGAGGGGTTCCAAAGACATAAACTAACTTCTTTTTCTGAAATCCTATCTAAAAAAATCAATATGTTTATCAAATCGCTCCATTTGATATCCAAATCATTCATGGGATAATCAATTTCAGTTAACTGAGTAATTGGATCATAAAGTAAGGAAGGCAAAGAATATGCACAGATTTTATTGTATACCCACCTTAAAATAACCTTATGGTTGTTGTACAATTTGTCATTTGCTGATGAATTGGGATATTTTTTTACAAATTCAGAGTTAGAGATTAAACGGAGCCATGATTTTGATACAAACTTGTACTGTAACAGAGATTTGACAGGAATCTTTGAGAGTATCGTCATGATGATTTCATTAGGAAGATGGGATGGAAATTGGGATCGATTTTTGAAGCTTTAGATTCCGCCATTGTTACTCAACATATTTTGTGGTTGTTTAGGGTTTTATATTTTGAGAGGTTTTACCCAAAATTATCCCTTGAGTATGTTTATTTTTATCTTTTTAGTGTCTAGTGAAGCATCTTTGATCCAATTACCTCGAAATTAACGGTGACTATAAATAAAATGTAAATATTGACCATTTTTGGATTGATCGATTCAGTCGATTTGATTTAAACTTAAAGATGTTTAGGATGATATGTAAAGGACAAAATAAGTTTCTGGAGCATTAATAGCATAACAACCTCAAAGGAAGATTTGAATTTATATAAGATCTTTTAAAATATAATAAAGCAGATCAACATTTATTCAAGCTTTATATCACTCTTCTACTAAAATGTAACAAATACAATGAGATATGCTATTAAACACCAAACAAGAATGGCAACTGCAATTAGAAGTCGTAGAGACGTCTGAGATATGCTTCTGCATTCAATAAACATCCATAATAGATATATCAAGCTTCATCGTCGTTCTATGTAGTTTGAGTTTGGATTACTCATATACACCTAAACTTCGACTTTATGAAAGTTCAAGAATGCCAAACAAGTTAAGAAAGAACACCGACAATTTTTCACATGACTAGTAAAAAATTATAGCACTAAAATGTGTCACATGCCCTGGCCTGCATTAGCATGTAACAAACATCAAATCTAATTAAATGAAAATTATTCTTTTGGGCATATGCATACATAGTGAAGTACAATAGTTTGCTGACATTTCAAGCTTAAATAATTAGTATAGTAGATCTGCGTCTTATTGAAAATAATAAATATAAGATTATTTGAACATTTTCCAATTCAAATGAATAATAAATTTCATATTATTTACATATTCTCGATTCAAATTAATAGAGTCTTATCTAAAAGGATCTAATCCAAGTCCTTTTCTCCCCTTGGACATGGTAATTCTCTCCATCCTTATGACTATTGTAGTTTTGCTTCCCCATCTCTTGTCTCATTCAAACCTTTTGTACTTTCATTATAAAGTTTGTATGAGTGAAATAAGAATTGACCATTAATTCACAAAAGAAGTAACAAAAAGAAAGAAAAAATGTCAGAAAGTGAATTAATTGTGTGCATATGCAAACACATTGAAAATAACGATGATTTTACATTCATCATGTAACTCGTCATACACATTAAAAACAACAGAATTGTATATTAATCATGTATAACTCATCAAGAGCATTGAAAATAACGACACTTATATATTCATTATGTATGTACTCATCAAGCACGTTGAAATTAACGAAAATTATATATTCATCATGTAACTCATCAAGCACATTAAAAATAAAGATAATTTTATATTAATCATGAAACTCAGCAAACACATTGAAAATAACAATAATTTTTATAGCAAATTGGACTCAATGTAATTTCTATCAATTTTTTACATTTTCTAATGCACATACATAATTAACTCCGATTTACCGCAACAATGAAAAATATTGTTACAAAAAAACATAATATAAAAAATTTGCTCCAAGAACATTTGGTCGTCATAGTGAAATGTTGATATGGAAGGGGCAGAACAAGTGTGGATTTCAGGCCTTTTTACTTGCCTTATCCTTAGCCTGTTGAAGCAAGTCTCTGAATCCCCATAGAGAAGCATTAGCACCCCAAAAGAAAAGCTTGGTCTCCTAAATTCTTAGTTGGTGTATATCCAACTAGCTAAATAGATCTAGAAAAATAGAAAAGTTTTTGTGCGATATGTGCACAACTTCTCCATTATCTTCCACTCGTATGCGGAATTCAATCAACCCTCATGATAGCCATGGAACCCTAGGCAAGTTAATGTTTAAATATTCCCTAGTGACCACAAAGGGCCACGATTTGCAGGCAGGATTGAAATTAAGATGATCTTCAATCAGATCTATGTGTCTAACTAGTAAAACCAATAGATCATGTTGAAGCACCGATCAATCGGCCCTTTCTTTAAGTATCAAGCTCCGGCTAGCAAAAGGATGGAACCGAATCATTACTTTGAAACACACCTGAATTACAACAAACCTGAATTGCAAATGAGCAGCTTTGATAGTATCGAGGTGATGATTTATGGGAAGGGAAGAAATTCTCGTTTTCTTCCATAGTAGCTATGCAAACGGGGCAGAAGAAATGAATGGGTTGTGTTAGGTTTAGTAGGGTTTTATAATTGAAATAATTACTAGGATGGTCTCTTTTCAACAGTTTTTAGTCAAAATTACCTCTTATGTATATATGTATGTTTATTTTTATCTTTTAAATGTAATTCTAAGCATATTTAGTCCCTAGTCAAAGTGATAGTAGTTTGACCAAAAATGTGTTGTTAAAAAGTATAAGCTCATCCTTAATGAAAAAGTAATATTTTGATAAAAATATTAGAATAATAATAATAATAATATATATACTAGTTTTGACGCACGTGCATTGCACGTACGTGTATATCAAACCATGCACTATATTATTTTTAAAAATAATGTGAATATTATTGAATAAAAAAATTAAGTAAGCAATTATAAAACAAATGATAACGTATAAGTTGCTATGAATAGTGAATGTAAACATTCTTATGATTACTAATGAAAGTTAGTAGCGCTTAAAATATCTTGGTTACACCTCCTAAATATACTTTCTCCTCCTTTCCTCATAGTGCATGACTTAGTTATTATTGTATTGTTGGAGTTTTATGTTTTTAGTGAGAGTATTATATTAATTTAGCATTCATGCTAGGGAGTGTTCAAATTTCACTGAACTTTTAGATTGTCAGTGTTTATAAATCAAACTTGAGTTTTTAAGAAGAGAAGAATAGACAACATAAAAAATCTTAGTTTAAAAATGTAAGGAAACCCCTCTATTTAAAGTTAAAAAAAGGGTAGTATGAGTGTGTGCATATTGTTTCTTATCAGAAAAGTCACAATCTTTAGGAAATGTCACAACTCTTTGGAAAAGTCGTAACCATTCAATGAGAAATGATGTATTCTTTTAATATAATATAATATAATATAAATAAATAAAGATAATATAAAACATAGAAGATATACTAAATTGAGTCTTATAAGAAGAACAACAACAATGTAAAATTTTAAAAAATTATAGTTAAAAAAATTGAGGAAACCCCTCTTTTTATAGCCAACAAAGGGTAGTATATAAAAAAATATTAAAAAAAAGTCATAACCTTTTAGAAAATTCACAACCCTTCATAAAGGTCACAACTCATCGGAAAAGTCATAACTCTTTTGAAAATACACAACTCTTCGAAAAAGTAGCAACTCTGTAGAAAAGTCACAACCCTTCGAAAAGATCACAACACATCGAAAAGGTTATAAATCTTTGAAAATGTCACAACCCTTCAATGTGAAAAGGTGTATGCTTTTAATATAAAATAATATAATATATATAAAGAAACATAATACAATAAAAAAAAATATAGGATATATACTACATTTGGTGATTTATGCTTGTGGTATTATAATAATTTAACATTTAAGTTATAAGGTAATATACATTTGTCTAATTTTTATTTGACTTGAAATTTTAAAAATAAAGTAGACTTTTAATTTAAGGATATGTAGAATACATATATATATATATATCACAAATAAAATAATATTTTTTTGTCCACTTACCTTAAACAATTTATTAGAGGATTGGGTATTCAACTTTATTCAGAAGGAGTGATAGCAAGAACATGAGCCTAGAAAGGAAACACTTCACGTAAATTGACTTGTCATAATTGTTTCATAATAGCTACTTGTGTCATGCATATTATATATAATATAAGGTAAGCTCAACAACAACAATCTATCTACCTCCACGAGGTAGGAGTAAGGTCAGCGTACATTGTACCCTTCCCAAACCCCACCTCTGGGATTATAGTGGGTATGTTGTTGTCGTTGTATCACAAAAATAGAGTCTTTTCTCTCCTCATACTCTTATATCAGTGCCATTCCAATCCCCCTAGAGTTGTAGAACCCATTCCTTCCCATACTTCACTACACCCCACTTCTTCATTATCAACACCTTCCATGTTGCAATCCCACCAGCCACCTCCATTTGCATCTGAAAGCAGAAAAATACGATATTTTTCATTTTTATGAGAACTTGCATTAGTAAGTACATCAAAATATGTTTTAGTAGAAGAATGTTTTCGTTAAAGATTACGATTTTAAGTAGACTTACAATGATTGAAGAGAGTGCTAGGTCTCTCAATGTTATCAAGCATTCTCACTTTTTTTCTAGGCTTTTCTGCTGAACCTTCTCCAAGAACGGCCAAAACCTTTCGAGCTGATTGGTTTCCACTGCTACCTAGAAAACCATTAAAAAATGTCAGGGCTAAACAACAAGAATTCATCTATCACTTCCTGAGAAAATACCACATTCTATATATGATCCATGAAATCCAAGAACATGTAACATTTTGGGATATTCGATAATATTTTCCATATAAGAACTCCAGAGCAAATGTATTTGGATTAACCAGTAAGTACTTTATCTAAACATGGGAACTAAAATAAATGGTAGTAGTTATTTCTCAAGAAAATCAATAGATCAAGCACTAGAAACAAGATATAAAAGAGTTGTGTATTTAGGTGGTGGATTTTGAATATTTCCATTCTGTTACAACAGCAAGACTATGGCAGAGCCAAAAATTGAACTTTATGGGTTCTAAATTCTAGGATAGTGATATAAGGTGTTAGTAACTGGGTTGAAAATTTAATTCGTGTATATAACGAGGTTTGGATTAAAACTACTAGATTCGGCAAACCTGTATACATAAACTTCTAGCTCTACCCCTGGCAAAGAGGATCCTCAAACATTTAGAATCTAGAGGATTTACATCTGTTATGGGAAGTACTGGATTAATGCTCTTTTTAAGGGGCTTAAGAAATGGACAATGATTCTATCCTTCCCAGACCCCACTTGTGGGATCACGCTGGGTATGGTGTTGTTGGCGTTGTAGGAAATGGACAATGATCTTATTCAAGGTATCGTATTTCAGGAAAATAAGAGAAGAAAAGCCATTTGCCTTTTTCTCCATGTAGCCAACATTGAACTCTCACTCTCGATTTCAAGCAAAGCTCTTAACTTAACTCAAGCGGAATAACCCCTTTGGCTTCTAGAGTTGAACGTTTCTCCAAGTACAACAGGGCATTGGAAATATTAGTGGATACTATATATATATATATATACGTAATATCAGATTTATAAAAGGAGAAGCAATAGCAACTAACAAAAGATCGCATTGCAATTTATGATCAGCAGCTTAGTAGCTTGGGGAAGCAAGGTCAAGTGACACAAGAAGCCATACTGATTAGCTTCTTGTTTTACTACACATGTATGTTAGTTACAGAAACAAGCTTAGATACTCAGAAACGAATATAACCAAAGGCAATCTCATGAAAGCTAATTCATCTAAGAAAATATGATGAGCACAACAAACATGTGAACAGGTCAACCCATTCATTTTCTGAAAGAATGACTAACCTTCAATAAAGCCTCTTTTTCTTGATTTTCTGACATTATCGGTGACGGAAACCTCACGGAAATCATTAGGAGCAGAAACATCTTGGTTCTCTTTCATGGTGTTCTTGTATTGTTCAAAAATAGCATCAAGAGCACATGGAATTCCTGTTTCTCCATCTTTCGAACAATTGAATCGTCCCTTCACACACTTACTTGTGTCTTTACTACAAGTTGGGACCGAGAATTTCTTGTTTCCCTGCAAACGTTTAGGTCCCATTTATACTCAAATCAAATTAGGTAAATTATTGTACAAGTAGAGAAATTGCACACCCTGATATGGGAAAACCTATAATAATTTCTACAGGTCGCTCAGGAAAACAGTTCCATGTTCTAAATACATGTAACTATAGAACACTGCTTATTGCAGTTTTATAGAACACAGGTGATACAAATGACAGAACTTAAAACTAAACTACAGTTTAGATCCTTTCTAATATTTGACATTGGTTGAAGCCGGTAACCTCGTCACCTGTTCCAATTATATACTCAAGTCTTTAGGTGTTCCAAAAGAGAAATTTAGCTCAGACCAAGTGACCATATTTAGTCCATCATTGAAGGCATTAAGTGCACTTCCGTGAACAAAGTCTAGAATCAACAAGAGTTCATAGAATGAGGAACATATACATTCTTAAAAGCAATTCTTTAAATTTCTCTACACACATATTAATGTGACCGAGCTTGAAACTGTGGATGCAGGTCCATCCACTACTTATATGTGTTGTAGTGGCCTACAAGTTCTACATTCAGTTATAACAACATACTTAGTGTAATCCCACAAGTGAGATCCGAGGGTAGTGTCTATGCAAGCCTTACCCCTACCTTGGGAGGAAGAGAGGCTATTTCCGATAGAAGTTCTACATGCAGCTACAATGAGAAATCTTGAAACAATGGCAACAAACGAACAGGACACAAAATTTCCAGCTCTACAAATATTTATAATCTTTCTTGGGATCCCAACAGAAACTTTTTTTTCATTTCTAGCATTTCCATGAGAACACAACAACAACATACTTAGTATAATCACACATATGGCGTCTGTGGAGGTTAGTGTATACACAGACCCTACCCCTTCTTTGGAACGTAGAGAGGTTGTTTGTGATAGACCCTCAGTTTTCATGAGAAGACAGAAACTAAAATACGACAGCATACTCAATGTAATCACACAAGTGGTGTCTGAGGAGGGTATTGTGTACACAAACCTTATCCCTACCTTGGAAGGTAGAGAGACTGTTTCTGATAGACCCTCAACAACTTCCATGAGAAGACAGAAACTAAAACAATTTAGCTTACTTACTGGAACTACTCCGGGCAAAACAGGACTTTTGTGCAATTTTTTGCTGAGGAAATCAGATAGAGATATGCTTGAACCCTTTTGATTGGAACCTCTGCTTTCCACTTTCTTCTCACAACCAGTAGACCTTAACGAAGCACAATAAATGAACAACAGATCAAAAATTACACCCAGAAAGCTAAAAACAGAGAGATTATTTAACACGAAACTGAAGTTCGTTCATAGAAGCTAAATTTAACACCAAAAGCGAAACCCCAGATCACAAATGAAACACAACAAGTTAAAAAAACAAGAAACTCAACCAAAAATGTGGATTTTAAGCAACAAAAGAGAAACCCCATATCACAAACGAGACCCAAAAAGCTCAAAAACAAGAAATTTAACCAAAAAAAGTGAATTTTAAGCAACAGATCGAAACCCCAGATCACAAACGAAACCCAACAAGTTGAAAAAACAAGAAATTTAACCAAAAATGTGATTTTTAAGCAACAAAAGCGAAACCCCAGATCACATACGAAACCAAACAAGCTAAAAAAATAAGAATTTTAAGCAACAAAAACGAAACCCCAGATCACAAACGAGACCCAACAAGCTACAAAAACAAGAACTTTAACCAGAAAATCTGGATTTTAAGCAACAAAAGAGAAACCCCAGACACAAACGAGATTCAACAAGCTAAAAAAACAAGAAATTTAACCAGAAATCTGAATTAAGCTACAAAAGTGAAAGCCCCAAATCCCTAACGAGTGAAAAAGTGGAACTTCCATTCTTACTGATTTGGAGAACGAAAGAGAAAAGTTGAAGCAATTGACCGCTGTCCCAATGGTAGTATTTCAGGTTGCTTCTTCATCTTCTTCACCAAAATTTTTCTTCAAAATGCGATTTTGGGCCAATTTGTACAGCAAATTTGGCGCATAATTTGAAATTTTCACCAAAAAATGGGGAAAAAAAAAGATATTGGGGTGAGAGAGGCTCGAACTCTCGACCTCAGGATTACTCAGAAGCTATGAGACCTACGCGCTAGCCAACTGCGCCACCACCCCTTTGTTGCTATACCTCAGCAGTAGAATATTACCTTGACATAGTGAAAATCATCCGTTCGAACGTATGTATATAACTATAAATACTTCTCTTTATAACGATTAACGAACTTATAAAGAAATAATATCAAACAAAGTAAAACGAAGGGAGTACTAATGTATTCAGGATTCACTAATTAATTATTAGTCCATTCACGAAAGGACTAATTGTGCAAAGTAAAAATACACGAGGGGCAACATGGAAACATGAAAAAGAATATGAACCTTGTGGTTAGATAGATAATATCTTCTGTAGGTTATTAAATGTTTCAGGTTTAAGTTCTGAATATAACTTTTTTTAAAATAAGAAATGGTGTTTTCTGTAACGCAAATCCAAATTAATCAGAGATATATATGTGATATAATTTAACTTTAACATGAATATGAAACACCGAATAAATTCATGATGCTTCTCACTTCTCCCATACTATATATATGAGAAAGCTTTGCAAAGCATATATCTACATATATAGTATTAATAATATTTTCTAGTTCTATAAATCTAAACTTCTTAATTTCTTCTAGCCCCCTAATATTTCCCAACTTGGAAGTTCCATTTGGTTCATGGATATTCATGGCAAAAACAACAACACAACCACAAATTCTTCTTTTTTTCTTTCTGCTACTACTCATGAACACTTATTCTTTAGGATTTAACGTAAGAGCCCTTCGAGATTACTCTCCAACAAGCAAAAAATCCACTATGCATGTTCTTTCAAAAAAATCAACTACTACCACAACCACCATTACTGTCACTACCCCTACGAGGGTTGCAGCCACCCATAATGCAAGAGGGCAATTTGGGGTGGCTGCTCATAGTGTTCCAAGTGGTCCAAATCCCGAGTCCAATCGATGAATCAAGTGAGGTTACTAGAGTTAGTTCCCCTAGCTCATGCTTATCTTTTATTTGTGCATTCAGCTTGATTAATCTGAACATAAGTCATATAGGACCTATTAATAGTAGAAGCGTTCTTTATCAAGAGTTTTTCTCTTTATGAGATATAATGTTTTTCTCTTGCTATTGTTGAACATCTTTTTGTTTCCTCATTATAATAATGTATATGAAGAATATATATAATACTTTGTTTTAGTTGTATTATTTATGCATATCATACATGAATTTTAGTTTTACTCCCTATTATACTTAATTAAACATATTTAACTTCAATTACTCGAAATATGCACTTCTGATCCCTTTACCTCTAACATTCACATATTTAATTTTCAGAATTATTAACCGCTTCACTTCCACCATTTTGATTATTGTATATGTTATGTTAAATTTACATTTTGTTGCTTTATTTTTAATGGTACTGTATGTACTTCAAAAAAATAGTTTAAATATAACATATTTAAGTAAAGGCTACCAAAAAAATACCCATCTCAATTAATTGAACATTAAATGTAAGGAGAGGACCAATATTCAAAATTAGGGGACCAAATATACCATCATTTCTTTTTATTTATTATAGTTGGATAAAGTGTTGTTGTGAATTCAAGTCTCTATATTTGTTATATTTATTAATTTTTATCTTTAAATAAAACTATGGTTTATTTAAATTGAATTTTATGTCATGTGATGTGAAAATTTAATAAATCAATATTGAAGACAGTGATTCAGATATGAAAAAGTAGAGCCATCTAATTAATAGAGCTGTGGTGTCAGATCTCTTTGTAAACTCTGATGTATATATCTAACTTTTACTTCTTGTTTTTTATCTTGAAAATAATAATTCATGGATTTTTGCATTTGTCTTGTCAAATATGTGGGCCAAATACAAAACAGAACAGGTTATCACAAGGACAAAAAAGTTTGATTGTATTTGTAACAGTGAAAACACACAGTCTTATATATATATATATATATATATATATGATGTTCTACGTGGTAATTCATATTTAAAATGATATCTGACGTACATTATATTACATAGGACGTGTGTGTCTGGTTGTTCAATTTATACAAGTTTAAGTGACTATTTTTACATACCCAAAGTTGGAGGACTTAGATATGAGTTGAATAAAAGTTAAAGGGCATACTTATGTGTTGTGTCTATAATTTATGTCCCTAATTTTATGAGCCAAAAGTCTTGTATATTGTTAGTGTTAATATATATCGTTTACATTAGTCGTTCATCCAAATATAACTCAGACGTAACTCCCTTTTTTATTAGAGGAGTGTGAAGCAGTGTCAAACTTCAATTCACTTCTTTAAGCATATTACCTAGTAGTATTTTATAAGACAAATACAAGCTGCCAAATATCTGGTCTGGTGGGGAGGAGATGACGGACTCAATTATTAGTTTTAGTGAAAATTGACTTCAGTTGAAATAGACGGATTCATAATTTGAAGTTTGTGGCTGAAACAAAGTTAAAGGGCATACTTATGTGTTGTGTCTATAACTTATGTCCCTAATTCTATGAACCAAAAGTCTTGTATATTGTTAGTGTTAATATTTATCGTTTACATTAGTCGTTCATCCAAATTTAACTCAGGCGTAACTCTCTTTTTTTTAGAGAGGTGTGAAGCAGTGTCAAACTTCAATTCACTTCTTTAAGCATATTACCTAGTAGTATTTTATAAGACAAATACAAGCTGCCAAATATCTAGTCTGGTGGGGAGGAGATGATGGACTCAATTATTAGTTTTAGTGAAAATTGACTTCGATTGGAATAGACGGATTCATAATTTGAAGTTTACAGATTTGAAATTTTAACAAATATGATTACTCTATATTAGGCCTATATCTCATATTAATGTTCACATTTTATATGTCCAATCCTAAATGGTTATTTGGTTTGCTTATTGGTTTTGATAATGTTTACTTCATAAGTTAATTTCGGTCAGAAATTGAATTAGACTCTTACCGATCCATTTCTTTATCGTGATATCCAAAATTAGATGCATCCTAATTTGATGATTTTGAATCTCTATTTTATATTATCCACACTTTAAATATTTAGCCTTCGAACAATCTTCATAAATTATCTTTGAGAGTTGAATTAGATTGATCAAAGGTCCATTTCTAGTGGTTCAACATCAGGCAATGATAACACTGTTATCAAACTCTATAAATATGAAAATGAAGTAAAGAATAAAAATACTCCCTATAGTCCATATTAAATGAACTATTGGGGTATGACATATCTTATTAAAAAATATATTTAAGGATATAAATTAAAATTATTTTTCATTATTATTATTTTGATTATTTTTAAACTATTTCTTAAAAAATATAAAGTAATTAAGAAACTATAATGGAGAGTAAATATGAAAAAAAAAGTTTTAATTATTTTTTTTGAAATTGAAATTATTCATTATGAAAAAGTCTCGACAATAGTAAAACAAAAGAGAAGGTCAACAGATGGGAAAAGCATTTAATTTAATTTAACACACTTGGAAAACAACATACTTTATTAATAATATGGTTGGATAATACAATAGTCCACAAGCTTTATTTTACATGTAACATGTAAAGAAGCTTTAAAGGACAAATTTACTTTGATAAATAATGATATACTCTTGTTTAAGTACTTTTACAAAGTACTCTCACAAAAAAATAGAACTACAAAAGTACATAATTATATTTAACATTTTGATCACATTCTTATATATATAGTTCATGCAATACATAATTGGAAGAACTATATGTTGATGAACTAATGACCACCACCAATGCCTCCACCACCACCAAATCCGCCGCCACCTCCTATACCTCCGCCAACGCCTCCACCTGCACCACCACCAAAACCTCCTCCGGCACCTCCACCACCACCAATGCCACCACCTCCACCACCACCAAATCCTCCGCCTCCACCTCCACCTAGACCACCTCCGGCTCCTCCACCTGCACCAAAACCACCTCCAGCACCACCACCAGCACCTCCACCTAATCCTCCTCCACCACCAGCACCACCACCAAATCCACCACCTCCACCAAGTCCTCCTCCGGCACCACCACCTACTCCTCCACCAGCTCCACCACCAAGTCCACTACCTCCACCTAGTCCTCCTCCAGCTCCACCACCACCTCCTAGTCCACCACCACCTCCTAATCCACCACCTCCTCCTAATCCACCTCCACCACCAAGTCCACCACCTTTACCTAAACCACCACCACCTCCTAATCCTCCACCACCACCTAAACCACCTCCTCCTCCTAATCCACCTCCACCACCTAATCCACCTCCACCACCAAAACGCTTCCCAAACTTTCTATGTGCAAATAGGAGCTTCTCATCTCCAACTCCATTAACATGATCAGCAAACACAACACAATCAACAAACAACACAAGTAAAAGCATATATCCACCAAAAGAAAAACATGATAACCCCATAATTATGTATGATATTAATTCAAGTTTGAAACCCTAGACATGCAAAAATGAACACTATCCTTATCCAATTATATAGTAGAAAAAATAACTAATCTTTTTACACAAAATTAAATCACATGGTAGGTCCAGTTAAAACTCAACTGCCATCTTCTTTTACTTAAATGCATGTTTGCTTTATGATTGGTCTATATATTTAATTCATCCAACTGCCCTCCTCCAATACAGGGACACAGACTTACAAAGTCACAAAGACAGCACAATTATCATAATTAGTGTTTTTGGTTGTGAGAGATAATTTGAATTTTAGGGTGTCTCATTTAATTCTTGATCTATATATCCATATTAATTAATGGTGTTTAATTAGTTGATTCCCCGCATATATTTATTATTCCCTCCGTCCATTTTTATTTGTCATGTTGCGATTTTCGGAAGTCAATTTGACTAATTTTAAAGTTAAATGAGATTACATTAATTCGATACTCCCTCCATTTCATATTAACTTAATTTTTGAGGTATTTCACACCTTTTAAGAAAAGTAGATTAAGACATAAATTGAACCTAGTTTTCCATTTTTACCCTTATTAATTATTGTCAAATTTATGATTAAAATAACTAAATATTAATTAATCACTAATTCCAATACTAACTAATGAAGGGTAAAATTGGAAGAACACTCTAAAAAGTAGTCTTGAAAACTGAACAATTAAGTTAATTTGAAAAATGGAAAATGTCTCAATAATTAACTTATTATGGAATGGAGGGAGTATTTTAAATAAAAAATTTAGATATTCAAAAACTATACAAAAAGTAGTATAATTGCATTTTTTTTGCATATCAATATGATGAAAAATTACATCATAAAATGTTAGTAAAAGTTCTTATAGTTTGACTCTAAAACAAAAAACCATGACAATTAAAAATGGACGGATTATTTTTATATGTCCGAATCAATTTACGCACCATATACCTAAGTAGAGAGCAATTAATTAACCATATCGATCAAACGTATATCCTTATAGTTGTAATCGATTGTTCTTAATAGTCTTTTTTTGCGGTTTTTTGAGGTCAGGTCCTTGTTCCCCTCCTTTTTTATTTAATTTTCAATGAAGATGAATGGGCAATGACACCGTCTGAGTGATTAGAAATTTATACATGTAAAAAGGCATAATACATAAATATGTTTTTTAACTTGGTTTTAGCTGACATCCATTAGGGGCGGAGGCAACATATATTTAGGGGGTTCATTCGAACCCCCTCGGCGGAAAATATTTACTATTTATGCATGGTTAAAATTATTTTTTAGGTATATTTAATAGATGTTGAACCCCCTTCCATTAGTTCGTGTGTTTACTTCTCAGATTTTGAATCCCCTTATTAAAAGTTCTGGCTCCGCCACTGACATCCATATCCTCCAACTTTGTGTCTGCACGATTAGACATGACTTAAACTTGTACAAAATTGAACAAATAGATACATGTGTCCTACGTGGCATAATACACATAGGATGCCACGTAGGACACAAATTGCTATGTAGGATGCCACGTAAGACGAATGTGTTTATTTGTTCAACTTTATACAAATTTAAGTGTCTACTTATAGACACCCAAAATTTGAAGACATAATTATAAGCTAAACCAAATTAAAAAATATATTTATGTATTGAGTATTTTTTGTTTATCCAATTCTATATAGAAAACAAGTAGTTGATCCAATAAAAACAGTTGTTGACTTTGTTGAGGGTTCAACAGAAATGGTAAGAAGTGAGATAAATTGTCTTGTTATCTCGACCACCCTATCCCATGGCTCATGTATTTCATAATTTTTATTTACTTTATTGGTCGCTAGGCCAGATTATAATTAATTATCAAGTTGATTCCTTTATCCATGTAGGCCATTCATTCTTAATGGCTTTGAACTTTGTGTTGAATTAACAAGCTAACACTCATTTATTGGGTCTTCTAATTGTCATTAATGGATCAACCAAACTATTTCCTGCCACCAGTATTAATTTGTACTCTCTGTCAATGTACTGGTTGCAATATTCTTTAGTTCACATTATATATGCATAGCTATTAATGTATTTGCATTCCATCTGTCCCTATTTACTTGTCTATTTTTTTTTTATTTGGCATACCTATTAAGAAAATAATAATTGATATAGTAAGTTTATTATTTTATCCCTATTAATTGATAGAATTTCAAATTTAATTTACTCATAAAAGAAGTTCTACCTTTTAAAAAATATTAAATAAATTGAAGATATAATAGATAAAAAAATATTGTCTTTTCTTGATTTGTCAAAAATAACAAGTAAAAAAGGTAAGATAAAAAGTTAAAATTAGATAAAATAAAAAGGGACAGAGAAAGTAATTAATTACTGTTGTGTTTCTTACTCCCTTTTGGTCTATTTTAATTGTGATGCTTATTAAAAATATAATAACTGATAAAAAATTTTTTATTCATTTTTACTTGTTCATTATATTAAAAATAAATATCCACTTAATTCATATTTGTCAAGTTCATAATTAATTTCTATTATTATTAATTAACTATAGTCATTTTTCAAAACATTGAATTTTATGATCAAATATTGATATAGTAAAATTGTCGTTCTATTGCTTAGGGTGTACTTTCCAAGTCGATACGTAAAAATAAACTAAAGGAATAGTTATCTCAAGGCATAATTTATTATTCCTTCCTTAAAAAATTCCAATTTTCAATTTTTTAGTTTCAGTTTTAAAATTTATGGTGGAGAGGTTATAACCCAATTCTTATTACTTTAATACTTTAAATTGATCACTTTAAAATAAAAAACTCTTAAAATTGAAATTATAGCTCGCAAAACCATTTTATAACAAATATGAAAGGCACACTAAACAAGTCTACAAAATAATGTTGAAATCAAAACAAATACTACAATGCTATAAAAATAATAATTCACCCCTCCATTATAATCATTGATACAATTATAACTCCAAAAAAAACCCACACAAACACATAAAAAAATGATACAATATATGTAAAAAGAATTGAATAAAGCAATAATTAAGCTCTTTTTTTTTATGAATCAAAATCCAAGAAATAAAGAGCCAATCCAAAATAAACACACTCATATTATTTCCCAAAAAAAATAAAAACTAAAATAGAAGTACAAATTTGATCTTTTGCATGCATATAAAGGTAAATCAATCAACGGAAAAGGGTCAGATATACACACAAAACTTAAATGAGGAGTATATTATTTTCGATAGTACATGAATATATTTAACCCTTTTTCGATTAATCAATCACCACCACCGATGCCCATACCTTTACCACCAATCAAACCACCACCAAGTCCGGTGCCACCACTTACCTCACCAATACTTCCACCAATAGCCATTCCACCACCAAATAAACCACCGCCGCCGCCACCTACACCGCCTGCCCCGAGCATGCGCCGCCCTAACACGTCAGCAGAAACCATAATGACACTAAAAAGAACAATTAAAAGAATTACTCCAATAACACGAGCTGAAAAATTTGCCATTATATTAATTCTAACTTTAAATTAAATATATGGACTAAAAATATTTATGAAGAAAAAATGATAAAATTGTAAGATATATGGTAATAATGTACTTCTATGGACAAGTTTATATAGTGTTAAATTGGTCTATTTTTTATTGAGCATATGTTAGGAAGTCTAGAATATATAATTGTGAATAATAAGATTATTTCCATGATCTTAGCCAAATATCCCGTTATATTTATATTATATTGGCTTAAGGATCAATAAATCTATTAGTTAATTATTTAGAAAAATATATAATGGGATTATTAGAAATTAAGCAATGCACGATTGTGAATAAACAATGTTTTGTACTCATTTTAGTGGTTCTCCATGAACAATATAGTTGGTTATATTATTTGCCAGCAATATAATGTATTTATATTTTGAAAACGTGTATGTATATATTACATAATAATTAGAAAGAATGATTAGAAAGATAATTATATTTTTGATAAATTTGGATACTTTTTTTTATACATCAGCTTATGATATGATTTTAGATAGAAGAGTATAAAGATTATAATTAGGTTAGAGATTAGTTGGTAGTCGATCATAAAATTACTATTGTTACTTTCCATACGGTTTTATTTTTCTATTCGATGATTACCAATTATTTCTTGTGTTTCGATTATTTGTTATTATCTATTAATGTTGTTTTTCTTGTTCTTTTTTTCTACTTTTCTACGATGTGCCTTTAGTACTGTATTTCTTTTTCTTACTCATTTTTGTGACTTGTGATGTTTTACTTTAACCGAGGATATATCAGAAAAAAATTATATCTACTTTCACTAGGTAGGCTAAAGTTGCGTACACACCATTCTCTTCTCATATTCCATTTATAAGATTACATTGATATATGTGGTTGTGGTTGAATTCTTTCTTTTATTATGAAATAAAATATATACTCAGAAAAAATACAACAAAAAAATAGAATATAATTGTCGGGCGGGTACAAAATAATTCAATAGACAACTAAATATGTTGTGGAGGAGATAGTAAGTATCTCATCATTCTTACTATCAAAGATCTTGAATCCTATAAATAAATTTGCCTTTTGATAGAAAATATTTTGCTCCTTAAAGAAAGAACTTGTGGTAAAAATTTGAATTGATCGAACCCCAAAACATTAAATCTTAGAAGAGAAGTTGATGAATGAGATATGACTTTACATATGATAACCCTATATGTCAAGAACTTACCAAAATGAGAAGAAATATATACAAGATGAATTTAATTGTTTGTTGTCTGGAAAATTTTTCTCTTTGTGCATATGATGAACCTTAAGAAATAGAGTGAGTACACTTTAATGGTAAATTTTATATTTTTATTATATATAAAAGTATAAATGAATTCACTTGATCATCTTAAATATCAGTCTTTGTTCTTTTGTTGTTTTTCTCTTTAAATGTTGAAAATACAAATAATTATGTCGGATCTTAGTTAAGAAATTGCATGATCAAGTACTCATCACCTAACAAATGACATTAAATCACTGTCGCGATTGAGTGCTAGCAATTATTATTTTTTTTAAAACTGCTAGCACTAGCGCGCTTAAACATATGCTAGATTGGGCTAGCATTTTGAATATAATATCACTAAATGTAAAGCTCGATTGATTGAATTATTGATGTGTATAGCGTTAAGGCTAAATTTGGCAAAACTAACCCTTTTTGACAACTCTATGCATTATGAAGATATTAAGTAGCAAAAGTAAAGATGGAACAATTCATCAATCTGACTTCTAAAATGAAAATAAGAAACATATGAGGAGGATTCCCTTTTGTGGCATTCCTTTCCCAAATAGCAAAAGATTATACCTAAACATTATTGTCAAAGAATAAATCAATGCACTCGAAATTCAAACACCATCATATCAAATTAAAAGGAACGTGAATTTAATCCATTAATTCTTCTGAAACAATTACAACATCACAACTTTCATATAAAAAGAAGCACAATTTCACACCATCTCTCGTAAAAACAAAAGATATAATAATTGATACAGAAAAAATAATAAAAAATTATGATTATTACCATATAAGATAAATTAATTAATCAATTTAGTTACCACCACCAGCACCAAGACCTTCACCACCAAGCACACCGCCACCAAATCCAGTCCCAAAACTTGCATCACCAACACTTCCACCCGATCCAAATCCAAAGCCACCTAAGCCATGACCACCACCACCACCTACCGCCGCCTGCACCGAGCATGCGCCGCCCTAACACGTCAGCAGAAACCATAATGCCACTAAAAAGAACAATTAAGAGAACTACTCCAATAACACGAGTTGATGAGACAGCCATTATAACTTAGTAATATTTATGAATGAATTAAGAGATAAAAAGACCAAATAATTAATGAGAAAGTTGATGATTAATTCACTTGTCTAGGCAAGTATATATAGTACTTATTAAGTATTAACAATAACATTATAATATTGAGCATGTGTTTGGAGTTGTGAAATATATAATTGTGAATGATTAGATCTTAGGCAAATATTCCATTAATGATTAGAAGATAATTAATGATGGGATCATTAGGATTTAGTAATTAAGCAATGCACGATCGTATATATTGTAAAATTTTAAAAAAATGTTTTGTACTCATGTAGTGGCTTTCCATGAACTATAGAAAATAATTCTTATGTATATTGTGTTATAAAGAATCTCCTTTTTTTTATTTTGTGAAATAAATACATATTTAGAAATAATATAAAAATCACTATAGTTATCGAGCGGATTACGAAATAGTCTGATAGACCATCAAAGGTTGGTGTAGGTGATGATAAGTATCGTGTCATTCTTTTCAGAGATTTTGAATTTGGGATATCAAAATAAAACTGTCTTTGGTAAAAAGTATTTTGACCCCCAAAAGGAATTTCTGGCCTAAATTCGAATCAATCGAGGATCAATTTTAAGCATCGAGTCGAGAAAAACAAAAAACGACTAATAGAACATCAAATCTTAGTAGAGAAGTTGATGAATGACGTATGAATTATTTACATATGGCAACGCTATCTCAAGAATTCACCTAAATGAAAGGAAATATGTGATTTCTCAAGATAATTATATTTTTGATAAATTTGGATACTTTTTTTTGTACATCATTTTATGATATTATTTTAGATAGAAGAATATAAAGATTAGAATTTGGTTAGAGATTAGTTGGTAGTCGATCATAGTATTACTATGTTTACTTTCCATACGGTTTTATTTTTCTATGCGATGATTACCAATTATTTCTTGTGTTTCAATTATTTGTTATTATCTATTAATGTTGTTTTTCTTGTTCTTTTTTTCTACTTTTCTACGATGTGCCTTTAGTACTGTATTTCTTTATGTTTTACTTTAACCGAAGATATATCAGAAACAAGCTATATCTACTTTCACTAGGTAGACTAAAGTTGTGTACACACCAATTTCTTCTCATATTCCATTTATAAGATTACATTGATATGTGTGGTTGTGGTTGATTTCTATCTTTTATTATGAAATGAAATATATACTCAGAAAAAATACAACAAAAAAACAATATATAATTGTCGGGCGGGTACAAAATAATTCAATAGACAACTAAATATATTGCGGTGGAGATAGTAAGTATCTCATCATTCTTAATATCAGAGATCTTGAATCCTATAAATAAATTTGCCTTTTGATGGAAAGTATTTTGCTCCTTAAAAAAAGAACTTGTGATAAAAATTTGAACTGATCGAACCTCAAAACATTAAATATTAGAAGAGAAGTTGATGACTGAGATATGACTTTACATATGATAGCCCCATATGTCAAGAACTTACCAAAATGAGAAGAAATATATACAAGATGATTTTAATTGCTTGTTGTCTTGAAATTTTTTCTCTTTGAGCATATGATGAACCTTAAGAAATAGAGTGAGTACACTTTAATAGTAAATTTTATATTTTTATTATATACAAAAGTATAAATGAATTCACTTGATCATCTTGAATATCAGTCTTTGTTCTTTTGTTGTTTTTCTCTTTAAATGTTGAAAATACAAATATTATATCGGATCTTAGTAAGAATTGCATGATCAAGTACTCATCACCTAACAAATGACATTAAATCACTGTCGCGATTGAGTGCTAGCAATTATTTTTTTTTAAAAAATTGCTAGCACTAGCGCGCTTAAACATATGCTAGATTGGGCTAGCATTTTGAATATAATATCACTAAATGTAAAGCTCGATTGATTGAATTATTGATGTGTATAGCGTTAAGGCTAAATTTGGCAAAACTAACCCTTTTTGACAGCTCTATGCATTATGAAGATATTAAGTAGCAAAAGTAAAGATGGAACAATTCATCAATCTGACTTCTAGAACGAAAATAAAAACATATGAGGAGGATTCCCTTTTGTGGCATTCCTTTCCCAAATAGCAAAATATTAGACCTAACCATTATTGTCAAGAATAAATCGATGCACTCGAAATTTAAACACCATCATATCAAATTTAAAGGAACGTGAAGGACTTCCACCAATACCAATTCCCAAGCCACCTAAGCCACCACCACCACCACCTACGCCGCCTGCACCGAGCATGCGCCGCCCTAACACGTCAGCAGAAACCATAATGCCACTAAAAAGAACAATTAAGAGAACTACTCCAATAACACGAGTTGATGAGATAGCCATTATAACTTAGTAATATTTATGAATGAATTAAGAGATAAAAAGACCAAATAATTAATGAGAAAGTTGATGATTAATTCACTTGTCTAGGCAAGTATATATAGTACTTATTAAGTATTAACAATAACATTATAATATTGAGCATGTGTTTGGAGTTGTGAAATATATAATTGTGAATGATTAGATCTTAGGCAAATATTCCATTAATGATTAGAAGATAATTAATGATGGGATCATTAGGATTTAGTAATTAAGCAATGCACGATCGTATATATTGTAAAATTTTAAAAAATTGTTTTGTACACATGTAGTGTCTTTCCATGAACTATAGAAAATAATTCTTATGTATATTGTGTTATAAAGAATCTCCTTTTTTTTATTTTGTGAAATAAATACATATTTAGAAATAATATAAAAATCACTATAGTTATCGAGCGGATTACGAAATAGTCTGATAGACCATCAAAGGTTGGTGTAGGTGATGATAAGTATCGTGTCATTCTTTTCAGAGATTTTGAATTTGGGATATCAAAATAAAACTGTCTTTGGTAAAAAGTATTTTGACCCCCAAAAGGAATTTCTGGCCTAAATTCGAATCAATCGAGGATCAATTTTAAGCATCGAGTCGAGAAAAACAAAAAACGACTAATAGAACATCAAATCTTAGTAGAGAAGTTGATGAATGACGTATGAATTATTTACATATGGCAACGCTATCTCAAGAATTCACCTAAATGAAAGGAAATATGTGATTTCTCAAGATAATTATATTTTTGATAAATTTGGATACTTTTTTTTGTACATCATTTTATGATATTATTTTAGATAGAAGAATATAAAGATTAGAATTTGGTTAGAGATTAGTTGGTAGTCGATCATAGTATTACTATGTTTACTTTCCATACGGTTTTATTTTTCTATGCGATGATTACCAATTATTTCTTGTGTTTCAATTATTTGTTATTATCTATTAATGTTGTTTTTCTTGTTCTTTTTTTCTACTTTTCTACGATGTGCCTTTAGTACTGTATTTCTTTTTCTTACTCATTTTTGTGACTTGTGATGTTTTACTTTAACCGAGGATATATCAGAAAAAAATTATATCTACTTTCACTAGGTAGGCTAAAGTTGCGTACACACCAATTTCTTCTCATATTCCATTTATAAGATTACATTGATATGTGTGGTTGTGGTTGATTTCTATCTTTTATTATGAAATGAAATATATACTCAGAAAAAATACAACAAAAAAACAATATATAATTGTCGGGCGGGTACAAAATAATTCAATAGATAACTAAATATATTGCGGTGGAGATAGTAAGTATCTCATCATTCTTAATATCAGAGATCTTGAATCCTATAAATAAATTTGCCTTTTGATGGAAAGTATTTTGCTCCTTAAAAAAAGAACTTGTGATGAAAATTTGAACTGATCGAACCTCAAGACATTAAATATTAGAAGAGAAGTTGATGAATGAGATATGACTTTACATATGATAGCCCTATATGTTAAGAACTTACCAAAATGATGAGAAGAAATATATACAAGATGATTTTAATTGCTTGTTGTCTTGAAAATTTTTCTCTTTGTGCATATGATGAACCTTAAGAAATAGAGTTAGTACACTTTAATGGTAAATTTTATATTTTTATTATATACAAAAGTATAAATGAATTCACTTGATCATCTTGAATATCAGTCTTTGTTCTTTTGTTGTTTTTCTCTTTAAATGTTGAAAATACAAATAATTATATCGGATCTTAGTTAAGAAATTGCATGATCAAGTACTCATCACCTAACAAATGACATTAAATCACTGTCGCGATTGAGTGCTATCAATTTTTTTTTAAAAAAAATTGCTAGCACTAGCGCGCTTAAACATATGCTAGATTGGGCTAGCATTTTGAATATAATATCACTAAATGTAAAGCTCAACTGATTGAATTATTGATGTGTATAGCGTTAAGGCTAAATTTGGCAAAACTAACCCTTTTTGACAGCTCTATGCATTATGAAGATATTAAGTAGCAAAAGTAAAGATGGAACAATTCATCAATCTGACTTCTAGAACGAAAATAAAAACATATGAGGAGGATTCCCTTTTGTGGCATTCCTTTCCCAAATAGCAAAATATTAGACCTAACCATTATTGTCAAGAATAAATTGATGCACTCGAAATTTAAACACCATCATATCAAATTACAAGGAACGTGAATTTAATCCATTAATTCTTCTGAAACAATTACAACATCACAACTTTCATATAAAAAGAAGCACAATTTCACACCATCTCTCGTAAAAACAAAAGATATAAAAATTGATACAGAAAAAATAATAAAAAATTATGATTATTACCCTATAAGATAAATTAATTAATCAATTTAGTTACCACCACCCGCACCAAGACCTTCACCACCAAGCACACCGCCACCAAATCCAGTCCCAAAACTTGCATCACCAACACTTCCACCCGAACCAAATCACCATTTATATCATGGCCAAGACTTCCACCAATACCAATTCCCAAGCCACCTAAGCCACCACCACCACCACCTACGCCGCCTGCACCGAGCATGCGCCGCCCTAACACGTCAGCAGAAACCATAATGCCACTAAAAAGAACAATTAAGAGAACTACTCCAATAACACGAGTTGATGAGATAGCCATTATAACTTAGTAATATTTATGAATGAATTAAGAGATAAAAAGACCAAATAATTAATGAGAAAGTTGATGATTAATTCACTTGTCTAGGCAAGTATATATAGTACTTATTAAGTATTAACAATAACATTATAATATTGAGCATGTGTTTGGAGTTGTGAAATATATAATTGTGAATGATTAGATCTTAGGCAAATATTCCATTAATGATTAGAAGATAATTAATGATGGGATCATTAGGATTTAGTAATTAAGCAATGCACGATCGTATATATTGTAAATTTTTTTAAAAATGTTTTGTACTCATGTAGTGTCTTTCCATGAACTATAGAAAATAATTCTTATGTATATTGTGTTATAAAGAATCTCCTTTTTTTTTATATTGTGAAATAAATACATATTTAGAAATAATATAAAAATCACTATAGTTATCGAGCGGATTACGAAATAGTCTGATAGACCATCAAAGGTTGGTGTAGGTGATGATAAGTATCGTGTCATTCTTTTCAGAGATTTTGAATTTGGGATATCAAAATAAAACTGTCTTTGGTAAAAAGTATTTTGACCCCCAAAAGGAATTTCTGGCCTAAATTCGAATCAATCGAGGATCAATTTTAAGCATCGAGTCGAGAAAAACAAAAAACGACTAATAGAACATCAAATCTTAGTAGAGAAGTTGATGAATGACGTATGAGTTATTTACATATGGCAACGCTATCTCAAGAATTCACCTAAATGAAAGGAAATATGTGATTTCTAGAGGTAGTAAATGAGTTGTTTGGGCAAAAGTTGGGCTAATCAAAATGAGCTGAATCAATAAATGAGTCAATGTTCAACCCTATCCAAAGCTTCTTTTTTTTTTTGGCTAAGATATATGAATTGAATCAAAATGGACTAAGTGATGGATCGTAACACAACCAACCCAATTTGACTCAACTTTTAGTGTTTCATTTTAGAGACTTCAATAAATTTTCGTAACCAAATATCCACAAACAAGTCTTCATAAATATTACTCCACATATTATCATTGTGAGTTTGAGTCGGGCTCGAATCGCAAGTCAAGGCCTGAGGTTCGAATTTTGTGTCGAGGATCGGGTCCAATGTCGGGATAGAGCTAAGGAGTTGGGTCTCAATTAGTCTGGATCAGATTTCTAGTCCAAGTCGGGGTCAAGTCTTGAGTTGAGGCTAGGGTTGAAACCGATCGAGTCTCAAGTCCATGCTCCCAAATTAGGATTAGGCTAGGGTTAAAGGGTTGTAATTGGAGTCCCGAGTCAAAGTTAGTTGTTTAATTAGTTGATTCCCTGCCTATATTGATTAGCAATAACTTCTTCCATCCCATTTTATATGTCATCTTTTTACTTTGCACTTGCATTAAGAAATGATGTACCTTTACCCTTCTATCCTTATTTAATGTTTTCTTAAGTCAACTTTATTAATAAATGACAAGATTAATTAACTATTCTATCAAGGGTATAATAGGCAAAATATGGTAATTTATGCATAAATTTTATAAAATGACAAGTATTGTGGTCCAACTATTTATAAAAAGAGATGACATATACAATGGGAAGGAGGGAGTGTTTTTTATATGTCCGAATTAGTTTGCACACCATCTACCTAAGTAACGAGTAATTAACCGTATCGATGTAACTTATATAGTCTTTTTTCGCAATTTTCAATGAAGATGAATAGGCAATGACACCGTGTGAGAGTTTAGAAATTTATATATGTAAAAAGGCATAATACATAAATAAATATGTCTTTTAACTTGATTTCGATTGGCATCTATGTCCTTCAACTTTGAGTTTGTACAAATAGATTCAACTAAACTTGTACAAAATTGAACAAATAGACACACACATATCCTGCATGGCATAATACATGTAGGATGCATGTAGGACAAAAATTGCCATGTACGATGCATGTACGATGCCACGTAGGACAAATGTTTCTATCTGTTCAATTTGATACGATAAGTGTCTAGCTACTTATGCACACCCTAAGTTAAAAGGCATAGATATCAATTGAAGCCAAGTTAAAGGGCTCATTTATGTATTATGCGGAAAAAACAAAACCATATCGATCAAAGTTGAAACAAATATAACGAAATTATCCATAAATTTTGTTTATTGATCAGCATATATCGAGTTCTATATCAAAACCAAGCAGTTGATCCCACGAAAGCAATGTTGACTTTATTGAGGGTTCAACTGGAATTATAAGAAGTGAGATAAATTGTATTTCTCCGCAGCCATCCCACATGCTTCATGTATTTCATAATTTTTATTTACTTTATTGATCGCTAGGTCAGACTATAATTAAGTATCAAGTTGA